GGGTTGGAAGGGACCTCAAAAGATCATCTAGTCCAGCCCCCCTGCCAGAGCAGGATCACCTACAGTAGGTCACACAGGAATGCGTCCAGGCAGGTTTTGAATGTCTCCAGAGGAGGAGGCTCCACAACCTCCCTGGGCAGCCTGTGCCAGTGCTCTGTCACCCTCACAGGGAAAAAGCTTTTCCTAATGTTTTTTGAACCTCCTATGCTCCAGCTTGTACCCATTGCCCCTTGTCCTGTCATTGGACATCACTGAGAAGAGCCTGGCTCTGTCCTCCTGACACTCCCCCTTGACATATTTATAAACATTAATGAGATCACCCCTCAGCCTCCTCTTCTCCAAGCTAAAGAGACCCAGCTCCTTCAGCCTTTCCTCATAAGGGAGATGTTCCACTCCCTTCATCATCTCTGTGGCTCTGCGCTGGACTCTCTCAGGCAGTTCCCTGTCTCTCTTGAGCTGAGGGGCCCAGAACTGGACACAATATTCCAGCTGTGGCCTCACCAGGGCAGAGTAGAGGGAGAGGAAGACCCCTGTTGGTTACAGGCTCCTGGGGTTGTACAAGGCACAGCCTGTGTTCCTGTGTAGTAAACTATACTATCCTCTGAACTTACACAGAAGTGATTCATCTGCTAGAAGAGCAGATGCTATTTAAGACATAGGAGTTATTAAAAAAAATTGTAAAAAGTGCATCTTGAACTGATTTACAGACTGATATTCATGGGAGAACGCCATTTATTTTTGTCTTCAATGTGTTTGCTTTGTAGGTTTTACTTCATCGGCTTGCAAACTTTCAACGAGTGTGGAGTTTGCCTCCAAATGAAAATACAGGAAAAGAAGTGACTGCTCTGGCTTGGAGACCAGATGGCAAAAGTAATGTCAAATATATTTGCCATAAAAATCCCATTGGAATTCAGACAAATTTGTGGTGATGGTACATCTTACATATGAAGGAGGTTTTCAAGTAAACTGTGTTTGAAGGGAAGGGCAGCTTAATTTTCTATAGGTTTATTCAAAGGCATAGGTTTACACTGTTGAAAGCAATTGCAAGAAAGGTTTGCAAGATGGATTTGTGTCCAGAGTACTGCTTTTCGAAGTATAGCAAAACTTCAGGCTCCTAACTAAACAGAGTATTTTTGTGTAAAATACAGAATTTATTGGCAAAGGGAGAGTGCCCGATCAGAACTTATTTAGTTTATTTATGATAGGCTGAACTTTAGAGGCTAATGCACCAGAGAAAATAATCTTATCAACAGAAATAATGTTCAAATTGGTAGATTAATAAACCTAGGCTGGAAATCGGTTAATTTTTTGACTCATTAGAGGTGGGAGAGTGAGAACAATCTTCTTCCATGATATGTGGGTAGAAATTACCTATAGGGTTTTACGATAGAGCCTGAGGAGTTGAAGGAAACCTTTTTAAGCTGATTGCCTGTAATTACAAGGAAGTAAGCACAGAAACCTGTGCCTGTCATACGCTTTTACGGATGAATAAGGTTAAGAAGAAGGCGATGCAAAAGTTGCGAAGCAAGTCTTAAAATTGTATTTTGTTGTAATAAACCCCAAACCTTTCTGGCGGGCAATCTTTATTTATCATTTTGACCTCGAATTTGTAAAAACTGAAGCCTCTGTTTTGTTAGAATTGTTGTTACAGGTGTTAGAAGCATATTCAGTTCAACATGTAGATAAATAATTGTGCAATGAGATGTTTGGCTTAAATTTATCACCTAGAATATGATAGGAGTTCAAACTTTCATTCTAATAAGTAGATTTCAAATGAGAATTTGGAAGGAGTGTAAATAGAAAATTCTGTCCAGTACTTGGTTTTGAAGACACGTTATTTTCTAGTTCAATATTAAGTACAGAGTTTTAGCCATAGGTTATTCCTCCATTTTATTCCACTTTCTCTAGTCTTGGCTTTTGGCCTTACTGATACCAAGCGGATTATTCTGTGTGATGTAGAAAAACCTGAAAGCTTGCACTCATTCTCCGTGGACTCGTCTATTACATACATGCATTGGATGGAAGTAACTGAGGAAAGCAGGTGAGTCCAAAAAATTCTAGAAGCAAATTGTGAGCTACAATTACTGATAATTTGTACCATTTTACTAATATGTTATTCTTAGTGTGTTACAAGCAGTCATATAAAATAATACAATTTATGTAGCTGTGGCTTTTTTTACCACTGGGTTAAAATTTTCCTTTTTGTTAGAATAGATACATTTCATACACATTTTTAGTGCTGATGTCTTTGTCTTGTGGTTCTTCAGGTTATACACAGAAATTTCAGAATGATCTCGAGCACATACCTCTTAAGAGCTGCCCAATCTAGTGCTAGCTTGTACAGTCTGCCTTCTGATCCAGTTTAGTTCAATACCAATAATTTAATTATAATAAAGTTATGTTCATCTATTTTGTTAGAATAGGTACTATATTTAAATCTTTCTTCACTTGTGTGTTCAAGATTTTTAGTTTGGTGCTTACTTCTTTCACGCTGTGTCCTTGGCATCCATACAGCCGTGCTGGCAGTTGAGGGTGTTCTTGCTTCAGGAAGACCATGAGCTATGTGGCGTTAGAGAATTCTCAGCAGCCCTTGTGAGCTGGAGGATGTTGTGGTCACTATTTTTGCAGTCTGATGTGCATCTCATTGCAGTGCAAGGCAATAATTAAATAAAACACTTCTTTTAAAAAGGGAGGTGGTGTAAGCCTGACTTGGGGATTTCCCCACCTCCAGAAAACATCAGTCTTAGAATAGCGAGAAAATAACTGCGTCTTAAATCACTCTGGCATTCTTCTCCTGACGGGGATAGACCTATCTCCTTATGAGGAATCTCATCCTTCAGGTATGTCTAAGGTGTGGTATTAAGTAGTGCACTTTAGTCTTCCTCTTCTTTTTTATGTGTCTTTAGAGTGAAACTTTTCTGAGGTCTAGGTAGGTTGTACTGCAGAGTTGTACAGGGTTTAAATAGAAAACCTGAGCCAGGAACTGCATTACAGATGATGAGGGCTTTGGTGGGCAGCTACTGAGCTAGCAGATACAAAATTTATATTCAGCTTCCATGGGAATAAAAAAAAGATTTTCAGAGTTCTTTTATTAACTTAATCATTTGATAAATTAAAGACTCCATAAGGGATTACCTTCTGTTATTTGTAGCTCTAATATTAATGACGTACTTTTTTCCAGTGTTCTCACTTCGTTTTACAATGCCGAGGATGAATCCAATCTACTTTTGCCTAAATTACCAGCACTACCAAAAAAGTAAGCATTATACTAGTAAACTTGAGAAGATACAATTTGTCATTTGTTGTTTTTTGGCTATTCGTCTTTAATGCTCTACAGATGCTTTGGATTAGATGTTTATTTATTGTGTTATTGAGAGTAATTATTTTGTTTTCAGTTACAGTACTACTGCAAAAATTTTCAGGTAAGTAATTTTCGTCTTACCTCTCTGGTTTTTTGTTTTATTTTTGTTTTCTGGTATTGAGACAAGCTACATAAACCTCAATTACATGTTTTGTATTTTCAGTGAAGAAAAATCAGATGAGATTATGAAGCTTCTGGGTGATGTAAGGTAAATTCCATATGTAGGTTGTTGTGGAGGTTTTGTGATATTTTTTGGTGGGTTGATTTTTTTAAAGCTATGAAATAATGGATAAGCGGGTTTACTTTTAAGTTATTCATAATCTGTTTTTGAGACTCCTGGAGAAAGGATGTGGAATGTCTCTTTCATGTACAAGGATAAGTTCAAATGATATATTTTTTTAAGCCTTCCATCATTTTACACCTATTCTCCTCAGTTTAGAGGGATTATAAGGCACTTTGTCAGTAGCTGCTCTTGGTGCCCTGTCTTCTTTTCCTTAGAGGAAGAGTTCTTGGGGTGAATTTGAAGACTGTGTTGTATGTGTTTACGCTGCTCTTGGAGACATTAGTGAACGCTTCTTATAGAATCCCTGTGGGTTTGCATGAGTGTGACAAAGCTAAGCTTAAAATTAGCTCTGACATCAGCTCTTTTAGGGTTGCTTTAAAATGAACATCTCTGGTTAGGAAGCACATAAGGAGGTGGAGGAAGTGTAGTTTAACAGGCTGAGCCTGGCTTTGTGGGGTGCTTGTGCTGCATTTTTGAGAAGGGCGCTTAATATCTGCACCTTGCTTTTCCATTCGCTTTCTTCCACTGTTCCTTACAGTCTCATCACTGAGAATCATCTGCCTTATTACAAAAGTTGTATCTCTGTCAATCACCAGTTATTCCTTCTTAAGACTTGATACTTCTTCTTACAATAGGACTTCCTTGAGAGAAGTGGCGGCTGGCTGTAGTGTGGGAGCTCTGGATTCTCTGCTCTTTCATCCATCCAATAAATCAAACCAATAGTTTTTCATATATCATTTGGTTAAGTTCTGTCTTGTCTCTAATGGCAACAACCTCCTTTAACATGTATCTAGATGTGTAACAGGCAGAAGTTGCAGCTAATTTTCTTGTATTTGTAAGGGAACATGTAAACCACTCATTTTTTATGTTGAAGAGTGTTGCTGCTCACTGTAATGTAAGCAGGTATGTGCAGTTGGAGATGTATGGGTGAATGACTGCAACAGACAACCTCCAAGTCCAAAATTTGATGTTTTAAACAGGGACAGAAAGGAAAGGGTTGTAGAGAAGCTTTTTCCCAAGTCATGATAGTGAGTTAGTTTCAGTTAGTGAGCAAAATACAGACCTGTCTTTCGCAGACCCTATTCTTTGAACTGGGCTTCTATTTCTGATGCTGCTGTTATTTGTGGCTGTTCTTTGCTGCTGCATCCATTTCAGATGTTTATTGCCTTTGAGATTTTGCTGGGGAGTCCACCTGAGTGACTGCAACAAAGTTACTCTGTGGATAGTTAGACTCCTGGCAATACAAAAGTAGTTCTGTAAGAATGCTTTTCAGTATGCATTGGTAGGTGAACTGTTGCTAGAAACTATTACTTTTTTCCTTCTAGAAGGGATGAAGTTAATGAAGGACTTCTGTGCCTAAATTGTGTTATTTGTCCTTATTCTCTCAGTTCATTTAGTAATTGAGACTCTTTCTGTAAATGTTAGAGGTAAGTCTTACCAGTGAAATCCAAGGTAATTTTTTTTTTTGTTTTGAAATTCTTGAATCACAGGCAGTAACACAGTGTTTCTTTTTGTTCAGTGATTTTTTAGAGGATCTTTAGTAAAGGGATGACATTTCAGTATTAAGAATTACATCTATATGCCTTAGAAATTGTTTCATTATGCTCATCAACACATTCTTCTATTCTTATAGGCTTAATGCTCTTGTCCTTGGTGGCAGCTCTGGGTTTATTGAGATCTATGCTTATGGAATGTTCAAGATTGCCACAGTAACCGGGGTAAGTTCCGTTCTTTTCCATAGTATTTCTTCGTATTATACTGAACTGCAGCTGAATTGAAGGGAAAAATACAGTGTGTGCTTACATGTATGTGAAACCCAGTTGCTGAATTTCAGAGGAAGGAAAAATTCTTTCTCCCAGTTGGGTTGTGTGGTTATTTCTATGCTTATGGAATGTTCAAGATTGCCACAGTAACCGGGGTAAGTTCCGTTCTTTTCCATAGTATTTCTTCGTATTATACTGAACTGCAGCTGAATTGAAGGGAAAAATACAGTGTGTGCTTACATGTATGTGAAACCCAGTTGCTGAATTTCAGAGGAAGGAAAAATTCTTTCTCCCAGTTGGGTTGTGTGGTTATTGTTGGAAGGATGGAAAAATACAGTGTGTGCTTACACATATGTGAAACTGAGTTGCTGAATTTCAGAGGAAGGAAAAGTTCTTTCTCCCAGTTGGGTTGTGTGGTTATTGTTGGAAGGACAGAAATTCTAACTCTGACGATTTTAACATCGTGTTTCAAATGAAAGTTCAACGTTAACAGGCAGTGAAAAAGAGCGCTTTTATTCCTGAACAATAGCGGGAAATTCCACTTTTTTTTTCATCTTGTTGACCACAATCTTCATTGTATGTGAATGTGTTAAAGCAGTAAATACATCTTAGAGGAAATGCAATATTTCATTAACTTTTAAACTGGCATCCTTCAGGTGGCAGGTTCTTGTCGTGGACTGTGTTTGTCCAGTGATTTGAAGTCACTGTCGGTTATTACAGAGATACGAGACTCTCCAGACAGCGAAGCAGAGATAACATATTTTCAGGCAAGTAGAATAATTTTAAAATGTTCTTTAAAAGTAAAATAGCTTTTTAAATTACTGTCTGGTAGCTTTATTGCTTTCATATTAATTCAGAAAAAAACACAAACTATTTCCAGCCTTTCTGAAACTCACCCTAATTTAGCTTCTGAATTTATGACGTTAACATGCAATTTCACTGATGAGACTGACAATGACGATCTGAGTATTTTAAAATACTACGTTCATTTATTCAATTTCTGTCACAGTTCTTCAGATTTTCTTCATTCTGCACACAAAGACATAGCAACAATGCTGTTGATTATCCAGTCTACCCAGAACAGTTGTCATTAAACTTGTTACTGCAAAATGAGAAATCTTGCCAGGAGTTTTTTGTAAATGTATTAAAAGTATTTATTGCCCCCTTGAATTAAATGTGTTTTCCTCCGAAGATCAACTTCAGGGAAATGAGAAATGACATTTTTTCTGTGTGTCCCCCCAAAATCTGTCTTTTCATTTCTGTAATCTAAAATTTCTTAGAAGACAATTCATCTGTTAACTGTTGCTTATTTCATTTGTTATAGCTGGACACTAGTCTACTATCAAGTTACTTACCTGAAGTAACTCGAATGGCCCGGAAGTTTACTCACATCTCAACTCTGTTACAGGTACAGTTGTGTTACAACATTCTGTTAGTATCACCGTTGCTATAGGCTTTGATATTTTTAGTGCAAATAAAATATTTTCTAGTACTAAGCTTAGGTTTGCTTTCTTGAAATTTGATAATGAATTTTAAATAGCATGTACAGTATATCTTCCCTTTGTATTTGTAACATCCAGTTGTTGCCCGTGTTTTGAGGAGGTGGGAAAACAGAATAACGTTGACGCCCGTTCTGTATTACAGTATATAAAGTTGTCATTGACTTGCATGTGTGAAGCGTGGGAAGAAATCTTGATGCAGATGGACTCACGACTAACAAAATTTGTACAGGTACTGTGCATTAACCATTCTCTTGGCAAAACATTTTTTTGCAGCAGTTCTGGTGTTCATGTTAGCATACTGCATATCTTAATGGTGTTTAGGCGTAACGCCTCCAGCAAACGATCTCTAAGTTGAGGGGCAACCTGCAAGGTATCATGTGTCAAGTGCTTCTTATACTGAAGGTATCAGCGTACAGTCAAGCATCATTGTGTTGTGACACTTTGTTATTTTCTTTATTCTAAGTTATTGAGAAGTGATAGTTCTGCCCGGCTGTTGATGAGTTGCTTTCTGTTTGAGATTGTGTTCTTTGTACTTTAGTCAGTGATCAACTTCGTGGTGTAAATGTTGAGTAACAGCCCACCAGCAGTTACAGCCTAGTTCAGCAGAGCAGATATAACAGCAATGGATTAAGATGTCTTGGATTTGCTTAAATTTTACATTCATTGCCCATGGCTAGAAGTTAATTGAATCAAATAATTTTTTTTTATTTTGTAAATAGTTTCTTGGTTATGGCAAACTGCTTAGAATTTTTACTGGGTAATACAATCGAAAATAACTTAAAATACCAGAAAATTTCCAGGGATCAGTAGTCTGATCTCAGTGTTCAAGGATACGGGTGGATTTTTCGATATATGTTAATTGAAGTGTTTGTGAGATTATTTGGTAGTTTGGCTTTAACGTCTTCACCAATCTATTTCGATCATTTTGACTGACAGGAAAAGAATACAACCACTTCTGTTCAGGATGAGTTTATGCAGCTGTTGTTATGGGGCAAAGCAAGGTAGTTACTGTTGTTTTATCTGCCTATGTATTTGCATTACATACTGAAATACAAAGTGAGCGCATATTTGGTTTTCTCCCTCACTCTTTCAGCCTGGAACTTCAGGCGTTACTAATGAACCAGCTGACAGTAAAGGTATATTAATCTTTTGTAATGTATTAAAATAATCCCTTTCAATATATTTTAAACACTGTTAAGTTAACAGAACATTATTATATGTTTATTTCTTTTCTAACAGGGTTTAAAAAAACTTGGTCAGTCCATAGAGTCTTCTTATTCTACTATACAGAAGTTGGTCATAAGTCATTTGCAGAGGTAAGTCACAGAATGTTCAATGAATTATAGATAAAATGACGTACTGAATGCTTTGCTAGAAGGCAGTGTGCTCTATTGGTTCTTTGTGTGTAGGTGTGCTGGTGGTCACGGCAAAGTATACTGTTCTACTTTGGGGCAGTGAGGTATTTTGAACAATCTCCGTGACACATCACCTGTACCTCACTGCCTGGTGTGTTTATAGAATCCATGCAAAATAGCCACGCCAGCTTTGTGTGGTGGTTAAAATCATTAGGGCATTATTTGCTTTTCTGTGAAGTGATCCGCACATGCCAGACCACCTCATGAAGCTCTCCGCTTTGCGCATTAAATGATGATAACCTAACGTGCAGCACAGCAGGGAATTTCCAAAAGGTCACTAAAAGCTTGTGTTTCTTTGCTCTGCGTTCCCAGTGGCTCTGAGGCACTGTTATACCACTTGAGTGAATTGAAAGGAATGGCTTTATGGAAACAAAAATACGAGTCTTTGGGACTAGATGCATCTGGAATTGAAGGTAGAGTAGTGTGTGTGTGCTACTTTGATTTCACTTTTGAAAACTTGATAATAACAGTTAGCTCTTTTTTGCAGAGGCTATTACTGCTGTTGGCTCTTTCATCCTGAAAGCAAATGAGCTGCTTCAGTAAGTATAAAATCAGAAGAGTTTAAAAAATGTGGCTGTTGAGTCTTGTATCTAAGGGGAAGCGGGTGGCTGGGAATAGAGGAGGTTGGGGGAGTAAGTGCTTGCAGGCGTTTCTGTAGCGAAGGTGGGACCTGAGCCTGCAGCAGCTTGTGACATTTAGATCTGGTAATTTCTTTTCTTGTTTCTTGCTCAGAGTTATCGACAGTAGTATGAAAAACTTCAAAGCATTTTTCCGATGGCTGTATGTTGGTAAGCTTGATGACCCAGTTAATATCCAGTGCCTGTTTTGTATTGGAAACATTGAAATGTTGGGAAGTAATTAAGCCAGTCTTAGTTATAATCATCTTGTTATTTCTGACGTAGAAGCTTTCAGGACATGTTAAAAGTTACAGTTGCTGAGGCATGAATAATTGCAATAGATCATAAATTTGATAGTTCTCAATTAAACTTTGTGTGTGTACAGTGGGTAGTAAAGCCTTTGACAGTGTCTCCCACAGCATTCTGCTAGAGCAGCTGGC